GTAGCCATCTCGTCTCAAGTACTATGCCGATGAACACGAACGTCTGGCTGTACGTGCATGCCTGTCATCATCCACCCCCAGCCTCGCCGGGCCCCGCCTTCCTCGCTCCCCGACGCGACCTTCTCCCCTTCTCACCTTCTCACCTCATCGTGTTTGGTCTCATGCTCGTTAACTGGCGCCCGTTAGTGCGGCTTCTCAGTCAGCGGCCAATACTTGACTGGTGCCCTGAAGGAATGGACTCCAAACTGGCTGGTTCGTTTGTTTGACATGCTCTTTTTCCATTCTCATCTTGGAGGTTGACGATGCCAGGGTCTCATCCCAGTGCCAACGTCTTCTCGATCGAGCTCATCGAAATACATGCACCATCTCACACATGCTCCGTGCCTTCTCTGGTTCTTGGCGCTTGCTTCAAACCATGCGTGCTGTCGGGTCTTCTCTTCAAGACTTCCTCCAACACGCTGCGGCTTCAACGCACCGACACTAGGCGCTACTCCTCTTCTTGTACGTGAATGGCTCCAAGCCCTTGACCCAAAGCCTAGCTCCCACCCCGATTTGCTTTGTGTGACTGTCCAATGCAAGGCATTGCACGCCCCCACGCCCCCAGTGCGCGCGCACACACACACACACACACACACACACACACACACACACTCCACACACTCCACACACACCACACTCCACACTCCACCACCACCACCTACCTACCTACCCAACATCCATTTGCTGATGATCGACGTTATATGGCCTTACCTCGGATTCACCTGTGGCTAGGGACGCTGGCGGTTCTGGTTGACTTGTTTGACCAGGCGGATCAGGTGTCGGTCGAGTCTGAGCATGGCGTGACCCTTTCCATCTACACCAACCAGGTCGCCACTGTGCACTCTGTGATTTTCACCGCGCTCTCCTGTCCTTGCCCTTGTCCTTGTCCTTGTTGATTGTCTTTTATTTTGCGTGGGGCTGCACCTTCCATTGTGTCGGATCTGCGCACCTTTCCTTGAGCACCTCGCCTTGCTGTCTTGTGCTTCAGCCTTGCTCACCTACCGGCCTGCCCACTCAGATTGGTATTCGCGACAATCTACTCAATTTCGATCGCACTTTTGCCTTGTCCGCCTCTATTTTGGGTCGTGTGCGCGTACGTGAATGCTGAAGTCGTCGTAACCAGCGAGCAGGGCTCTGGTTCATTTTCTTTTGGATCCCGTTCATCCGCGTCCAGCTGAGATGGCCTAGTTTGGGGCAAGATCATCGGGCCAGCACTCACCCGCCCTTCGGCGCTTGGGTCGATTGTCCGGATAGGTTGCGCTTGTTTGCGCCAACAACCGACTCTGTCTCATTGTGCAGGGCAAAGTAATTGCCTGCATCTCATTCAGTGGCTGTACGTCATACGCCATGCCTCTTGGGGAGAAGGGGGGGGGGGGGGGGGGGGGAA